ATGCTCGCGCTGTCAGCGCATGGGGCTGGAGTGTATCGTGAACAAAAGTCTTCAAACATTGCTGGAGGACGAAGCTGAGTAAGTGCCTTATCTTCGGTGCTTACATCGGTGACTTATACTGATTGCGGGTTATGATAGGTGGAAATCAATGATCGAATCGGCAATGACGGACCTGCTCAGAAGATCGCAGCTACCGGAGCTATCATACTACCAAGCAGGCGGTGGTACAGAGACACCTTCGAACAAGAGAGGCCGGAAAGACTCCACCGTCTCGACTGATGATACTGGACTTGCGCAACATAAAAGGGCCGAGCCAGTCGGTAATAATGTAAAAAATGACGCAGCTGAAAGGTCAAATTATGGCTTCTCCCAACAACAGCCACGATATTCTTTAGACCGCGAGGAAACTGGCGCAACCTCTCTGGTCACAGCGCCGATGGGCAGTCTGTACGAGGTGACACAGCTCAGTGAAAACCGCGAGAGCTCGCCCGGACAAAAGCTTGCCCCAGACCAAGTATTGGTCACTGATCTCATCTCGCGCGGAGTGGTCGATATTCAGGAAGCGGAGGAGTTGTTTTATCACTTCGACCAGGTACTCAACCGCTACCTATGGGATGGAGCCTTGCTAGCACATAAAGACTTGACATCTGTCCGACGATCTTCATCAATGCTGTCTGCTGCCATTTTGGCCGTCACCGCGCTTCACATGCCGACCAAGGAACGCACGTTTGATACATGCTATACCGAGTTTGCAAAATTGGCATCAGAGTCTATGCTGGGCCACCATCATACCCTAGATGATATCCGCGCACTATGCATTGGAGCATTCTGGCTTGCTGATGTTAGTTGGAAGCTCTCTGGCTATGCGGTTCGTATTGCAACCGAGCGCAACCTGCACCAGTTCTTTCGCAAAGCCACACAAGGGTCGCCAGAACACATGGAACAGGCGAGGCTATGGTATCTCCTCTATGTGAGTAATGTTTGACCCAAAGTGTTGTTGTTTTTTGCTCATATTTTTCAGACCTTGGAACACCACTTTTCTATTGCATACGGCCGACCACCGATGATCCACGAAGATGTTAGTATTATTCAACACAATGTCTTTACACAAAATCCGTCCATTTCACAAGGTGATCTTCGACTTCATAGCCAGGTCGACCTGTTCATCATTCTCACCCGAATGTATTTTGCATTCGGTCCAGATGTCGACCTAGAAGTTCCAGAGAGCGATTTCCCCAAAATTGATCAATACGATATCGATATAGGGGACTGGAAGTCAGCATGGCTTCCTAGACTCGGTAAGTCTTGACTTCATGAGACACAACTACATTGTCTAACATGTTACTACAGCGGGGAGTCGCTACGTCGGTGCATATCCATACAAGGCCGTGTATATGCACTATCATTTCTCTCGGCTGCAGCTTAACTCACTTGCTCTGCGCACATACCACTCGTCAACCTCCTCAGGACAAATGTCTTATGAACGCAGGAAGCGTGCTAACATCGCTGTTGAATCAGCCATTGCGACTCTCCAGGTTTGTCTGGAAGAGCGAGACATCCAGCTGGCGCTCGTCGGCGTCCCACTATATCTCCACAGCATGATCACATTTGCCGCGGTCTTTCTGCTAAAGATCACAGCCAAGATTTGCTCGAATGGGACCATTCCCGGGAGCCAGGGCAAACGGACCTCAATCGCCTCGGCAGGGCTACACGTTGACGTGAGCTACGTGCGTGTTCTCGTTGGCCGGGTCGTCGAGCTCATGGTCTCCTGTAGTCAGCGAGCGAGCGAGCGCCACCTGAGTCACCACATCGCCCGGGGTCTCCGCAAGATGCTGACTGGGCTTGAGGAATGGGAGAAGCGCACTGCTGGTACCCATTCCATGGGGTTAGCTGCGCATGAAGCCCATTCTCTTTTCAAGCCGGTGGTAATTCCTGGAGCGCAGATGCTGGGTGAGCGTGACACTATTCTGAACCACCCGCCTCCATTGCTTGGTGTGGCACCGCTGTCCGCTGAACGCAGCAACGGGTTTGAACACCCTCTAACCCCAGGGAAGCACGAGCCCGGTCTATCGGAAGGCTCGGCTGACCCTATGATGGCGGATCTTTGGGGATTTGACGAGGATTATTTCCCTACGGGAGTGTTTGACTTCCTTCAGAGCCAGATGCCAGCGTGATCCGGACTTGGAATGCTTTCCCTGGGCTGTTCTCTTTATACATAGTAATAAACGGCCTATGATTGACGACCACGGTTGTTGCAGGAGAATATATGATGAACATTAGAAACATACATTAGAGTGAACTACTAATTGAGTCGGGCTATATCTCCATGCAAATAGATCATTTCCCTAGTAAATGGTACTGCCCAGTATATATGGATGGATGGGAATTTGGAATTTGGTGCCACTTGATCCCCGTCCATTCTTTTCCAATTATCACCATGCGACTAAGGCAAATATTCTCTACGGAGTATAACATATCTTGTCTCTCGGTGCTTGGCATAGAGCCACCCGGTAGACCGAAAAAGTCCGAGTCGGTTGAACATGCGGAACCAAACAGCCCATTTCTCGGGGATTCTGTCGAATCACATTGGACTGGACTACTACAAAAGCCGACTTACTGTTGATCTTGTAATTCCGTTATTCCTGGTGTATTGCGCTCGGTGATTCCATTTACCCCAAACTTGCAAGACTGCCGAGGGTATCCGCATATTTGATCCAGTTTCCGCAACAATTGGCAACTTTGTTCTCTCTCCACTCTGTTAATTGTCCCTTTTCTGTTTTAGCTATGATGAACCGATCTCTTCTTCGCGCAGCTGCGCGCTCAATCCAGGCTGGTCCTACCTCCGTGGCAGGCCGCCGGTACGCCTCCTCGGCCGTCTTCAACTGGGAAGATCCCCTCGTCGCAGCGGACCTGTTGACAGAGGAGGAACTGGCAATTCAGGAGACAGCACGCCAATATTGCCAGGATAAGCTTGCACCCCGCGTTTTGGGTATGTTTAATTCGCTTGCTTCCGTGAAATGATGGACTGACGTCAATGACCTCCTTGCAGAGGCCTACCGTAACGAGAACTACGACCGTCGAATCCTGGAAGAGATGGGCGACCTCGGCCTCCTCGGAGCTTCAATTGAAGGATACGGATGCGCCGGTGTCAGCACCGTGGCATCGGGCCTCATCACCAAGGAAGTTGAGCGCGTGGACTCGGGATACCGATCAGGCATGTCAGTTCAGAGCTCGCTGGCTATGACCGGTATCTACGAGTTCGGCACAGAAGAGCAAAAGCAGCGCTTCCTGCCTAGCCTCGCTAAGGGCACAATCGCCGGCTGCTTCGGTTTGACAGAGCCCAACCACGGCTCCGACCCTGGGTCCATGGAAACCGTGGCGCGGGAGCACCCCACGCAGAAGGGCGTGTACCTGCTCACCGGCAGCAAGACATGGATCACGAACTCGCCCATCGCTGACATCGCGCTCGTATGGGCTAAGCTTGAATCTACTGGGAAGATCCGTGGATTTATCGTGGAGCGTAAGCGTGCGACGCCCGGGTCGTACGAGACCCCCGCTATCAAGAATAAGACTGCCCTGCGTGCTTCCGTCACTGGTATGATCCATATGGATAACTGCCCTGTACCGGCGGAGAATATGCTGCCCGATGTCGAAGGCCTCAAGGGTCCCTTTACGTGCTTGAACAGTGCCCGTTTGGGAATTGCCTTTGGTGCCATGGGTGCCCTGGAGGATTGTCTTGCCCGTGCGCGCGAGTACAGTCTGGAGCGCAAGCAATTCAAGGGCAACCCGCTTGCCAAGTACCAGCTTATTCAGATGAAGTTGGCTAACGCTGCTACGGATGCTGCTTACGGAACCCTGGCTGCGATCCAGGTGGCTCGTCTTAAGGATGCTGGCAAGGCTACGCCTGAGATGATCTCGATGATCAAGCGTCAGAACTGTGATCGTGCTCTGGCTAATTCTAGAACGTAGGTTTCTTTTTTGTCTTTCTGGGTTGCTTTACTGACATAGTATTAGTCTGCAAGAAATCTTCGGTGGCAACGCTGCCAGCGACGAGTATCATATCGGCCGCCATGTGGCCAACCTGTTTGTGGTGCAGACCTACGAAGGTCAGAGCGATATCCATGGTAAGTCAACTCTGCCTGATTGTGTTCGGCTGAGACTAATGCATGTTTCAAGCTTTGATCCTGGGCCGTGCCATTACGGGCAAGCAGGCCTTTGTCTGAAAATAAAAAGAACATATTTGTATATAGACTATATCCCAATCGGATGTTTCAAAGAGGTACATCGCATTTACAGGAGTAGCCAGTAAGACATCAGGAGCTTCCCCTGAGGAGTATAGGATAGATCCTTCCTCTTTGGGACAAGCGGGAAATTGCGGACGCCTCACCCGCACGTGACATCATCGAGGGGCAGTGTATCAGTATCATGCGGTGTAATACGGGTTTCCATACATACAGAGGTATATTGAATGGGAGAGGATTGGATATAAAGTGTATGACATGTATAAAATTGGACATGGCCATATTAGAAATGTGTATATGTGTCTACCCGGTTAGGCACTGCTCTCTATGTATCAGGCTGGTCACTTGAAATATCCACCTGTCTGCTAATGCCGTCTTGTATACGGAGTACTCCGTATATGCCTTTTCCTGAGCCCAAATTCGATCAGCCCTAGGCATTGCCTTTCATGAAGCAATACTAAATCACAATACATACACATCTCCCATTCTATCTACTTCTGCCTCATTCTCCAATACATCAGCCCAGCTGAGTCATCATGTGTTAAGTGGGCGCCCGGTAATTACAGTATTGGGTCGTACAATACCGACAGAATCGATTCCGCCCATGGGGGCACTTTTCCCCCTCTTCCTCTTGAGACTCCCAATTATCTTCTTCCCTCTTCTTTTTCCACACAAAGGCGTAATCGTAAGATCTGTTTTTATCTCGAACTTTGAGCATCAACTGACCATCCATCGCCCAGCTTCTTTTCCACTTTCTTCACCTTTCTCTCTTTGCTCGTCATGGCTCTCAAGCGTATTAACAAGGAACTCGCTGACCTCGGCCGGTAAGCCTATCCTGATGCTATCTCTGCTATCGTCTGTGGTCCATGAATCTAACTCTCCTCTAGGGATCCACCCTCGTCCTGCTCCGCTGGTCCCGTTGGAGATGATCTGGTATGAAATCTCAACTCTCGTTTTCTTGCTCGGCGCCATCTGGCGGGGCACAACCCCGGCTTTGACCATATTGATATCAATGAGGAGATCGTGGATGACTGACTTGTCATTTTTCTCTTATAGTTCCACTGGCAAGCAACCATCATGGGTCCTGTAAGTTGTTCTCGTCTGTGCTCTGGAGGACCTTGGGGCCATTTGGCCCTTTGCGAGCTCCGGAGATTCATCACCAGATTCATGATACTAATAGACCATATAGGGTGACTCCCCATACTCTGGCGGTGTCTTCTTCCTTGCCATCCACTTCCCTACCGACTACCCCTTCAAGCCCCCCAAGGTCAACTTCACCACCCGCATCTACCACCCCAACATCAACTCGAACGGCAGCATCTGCCTGGACATCCTGAGAGACCAATGGAGCCCTGCTCTCACCATTTCTAAAGGTGAGCAAGACCTTTTTTTCATTCTCTGCACACAGTTTCTAACGGCCCATAGTGTTGCTCTCCATTTGCTCCATGCTCACAGACCCCAACCCGGACGATCCTCTGGTGCCCGAAATCGCGCACGTCTACAAGACCGACCGACCCCGTTACGAGGCGACGGCTCGCGAGTGGACGCGGAAGTACGCTATTTGAGTGAAACGACAAATCTGATTACTCCTTCGCTTCTTATGTCTTCTCTATCTATCCCTCAATAACCCTCCTTGCGGCCCCTATTTCGCTCGACCACTTTTTATCGGTGTCATTTCAACGTCGCTCTGCATCTTTCCGCTTTCTTGCCCCGCTCTAGATTCAGAATCCGCGAAAGCCTGGCGTACCTGTGGTCGTAGAAACGTTTTCAGTTTTCCCAAACTCAGTGTGTTAATTTCAAATGCACCTGTTCTTGCGCGCGTTTGCTTCCTACTTCGGTGCCGAAAACTCCATTTCCGCCGGGTTTGACCTTGTTTGTTGGGCTGAGTTTCTGGGACTTTCCATATCCAACGATCCTTATGACAAATTCTCATGCATTCATGGCATCCATTTCTTCTCTTTTTTCAAACGCCCCATGCGTCTAGGATTGAAGTATGGACACTGCCGAGTTTCCTCCAGTTCTTCTTTTGCTTGTACTAGCGATGCTTCAGACTCGGTGGGTAATGCTTCGAGAGTTTCAGATAGTAGTTCGAGATCGCCCTTGTCTTGGGTCTTGCGCTTAGGGGTTTTTAAGGGGCTTTATCTTTTCCTATCCAAATAGCACAATCTAGGCAGGGCCTATCTTGTGTAGGAGCTTTTGATATTGTAGACTGTAGTTTGTACGTCGTATAACTACAACTTCAAACACTGATTGATTCACTTGATGCAATCCAATTGCCCAATTCCAAATCCAAACTCCCTATATGTGTATGTATGTATATGTATCTGTGTAAATGCAAATAAAGAAATGAATAGTAGAAATCCATCAAATCAACTGTCGTAAACCATGCGACTGAACCAAACCCAGACTCAAAGCAAGTCCAAGCAAGTCCAGGATCAAAAGAAAGAAAGAAAGAAGCAAAATGCAAAATAAATCAAACCCAGCCCCCTGAAAAGAAGGAGGGAACCAGGCAGACCTATTCAAAACATGCATCATCAAACCGCCTGACTTCCCCGTCGACTCCCAGCCCGCGACCCCTCCTTCGCAGTGCGCTGACTAGCCCGAGAAACCTGACTCACCGAATCCGCCGGGCTGACACGATCATCAGCCCTAGAGCTCTTCGAACTCCCAGACCGATGCGAGCGGTGGCGATGCGGATGCAACCCAACCTGGCTAATCGAGTCATCCGGCGAGACTTGCGAGGCAACGTCCAGATCCACCACGCTCTCAGGAAGCGGGACGTTCCGCGCAGAGAAATGCGACTTCCCGCCGTCCTTGCTGTGGATACTCGGGCTGGAGTAGAATGTTGCGTTCGAGCCGGTGGGGAGGGGGATATTGCGCGCTGAGCGCGGGGACGAGGCAACGCTGGCGTTGTCCTTGCCGGCGTGTGAGTGCGTGCCATGCTGGCTCTTGTGCGAGCGCGACGCCGTGCTCTGCGGCGCTTTGATCGTTGAGGCGCTGTGCACGCTGCTTGGCGCGCGCATCTTTTCTTCGTGGTAGCTGCTGATGAAGGTGGACGGGGCGCACGCGTAGCGTTTCTGTGAGGCGTTGCTGGCGGGTGGGTACTCGATTGCCCGGAGCGGGATGTCTTCTGGGATGCTGTAGATGCTGCCTTCTGAAGCGCGGCGAGGGTTCTCCATGTACTCGGAGCCGTCGTAGATTGTGCTGGCGCGGGGGTTCTTGGAGGTTACGCTGCGCGTTAATGTTGAGCGTGGGTTTGAGGCGGTGGTGTAGGCGCTGCGGGGTGGTGCGGGAGCTTCGATGGCGCGGAATTGGGATTGTTGGTCGTCGTTGCCGAAGAAGGACTGTGCGGCGGCTTTGAGTTGGGGGAAGCTGTTTGCGAACTGCATTGGTTCATGTTCTTGGGCCGTTGACTGTGAGTCGCCTTTGACCATTGCGTAGGCGATCGCTGCGCCTGCGGCGGCGCCAATGAGCGTGCCTACGATGGTCTTGGCTGCCATGCTGCCGTCGTCGCTCTGGGGCGGTGCGTGCGACTGCATGGTGTATGACGGTGGTGGCGGGCCTTGGAATTGGCGCGAGACCATAGATGGTGCAGACCGCTCATAGACTGAGGGTGCTTTGGAACCTGCGCGAGACTTGGTGTCTGATCGGGCTTCGGATCTTGCTTCAGATCGGGCTTCAGATCTCGCCTCAGATCTTGCCACGGATCTAGTGTCGGACCTTGCCACGGATCTTTCGGACATAGCCTCAGACCTTGGGGGTGCGATGCTCTCCGCCTTGGCAGTGCTAGCTCTACTGCTCGCCCTTGAGACCACAGAGCGGCTAGAACCCTCCAGCAGAGCCATTGTCGGCCCGCTGGCGGCGGATATCACCGAGGCAGCGCCAGGCCGGTAGACGGCTTCAACGCTGTTGCCATCGAAGTCGATGACGGCTGCACTGAAGTACCCAGATTGCGAATCTCGCATTTTGGGTTCGCCGTGGATCTTCGCGCCGGCTTTAAGAGCGCTTATGAAGAACGAGCCGACAGCGTCTTTCGACGGGGCTGGAAAGGCGACATGGACTGCACCAGGAGGACATCTTTGGTTTAAGTCAGCTTTGTCGAGAGACAGGGTTTCTATATCACTTACCCAGGCTTAGTCTCGGTCATCCAGAAATCAGCAGGTTCCCCCTGCTTCTGACCGAACCCTATATAGTCGTCATGTCGACCGATGAATTGGTATCCCAATGGCTGTAAACATGATAAGTAGAAGGAGGTAGAGGTCGGGAGGTGAGCGACAGTCAGGGTGATATGCGAGACAGGCATTGCGAAGGTTGAAGTTAGGGTGCCTGGATACTAGCACGTAGAGTAAAAGAGAATAGAGATATGATAAAACGAAGGTGGCTGGAAGGAAAAGGGAGATTAAATGGAGTCGGTAAAGATATATACGGTGAAGGAATCCAAGTCTATAGCCAGAAGTATGACGCCGGGAAACGAGGCCACATGAACATTTCCCCCAAGAGCCAGTCAGAATAAATGCCGTGTGACTCTAAACCAAAAACAGAGCCGAAACTAGGCTAGCAGCTTCCAAAATCCTGCCCAAGCTGGCGAAAAGGTGTCACCCAGAACACCGCATGTCTCCCCTCGATAGTAGGTGGGCACTGAGGAACGTGTGAACTCTGTATGGAGTCAGGCCAGTGGGGTCCCCGAGACGATTGGCCAAACGATCAAGTCAATGCTTTGGACCCGATCTGCACGGGATATTTGAAACGGTCCAGGACGAGGCGTGTCCAGGGCCCAAGTTGCATTCCGTGCTCCATACTTGGTGAGCACAGAAATAATAATGCCAGTTCGTACTCCCAGTAGCATGGTACTCAGACCGGAAATTGTTCCTGTTCCTGTGCCTGGCCGCTTTCGGATACCTCGGGGCCCAACTTTGGGAAAGTGAAACGCTGGATGGCTGGAAGGGTGCAGATGGGTCCCTGCCAGGTCATCGCGGGGAGCCAATGTGGATTCTTGTTGGCGGATGGGGCGTCTGTTCAGGATGCCCTGAGCGAGGTGCATGAGCCTATCGACGTTAAGTGGGCATTTTGCTTACTTGTTCCTCTCGTGTGAGCAAATGGCGGACTTTGGAGTGGAGGAAGAGGAGATTTGCCAGGTGGGCTTGGGTAGATGTGCTGACCGCTACGGGGTTGAGTCATATGTTGTACAGTAGCAGAGCAACTAACTAACTATGGAGTATGTTGTACACCGTAAGTCGATATTCTGGGATAATTATGAGAATATGATCTAGAATGCTACGATCTCTACATCTCCAAATATAAAATGGGCAGAAGTGCATCTCCTATCGCCACCCTCGGTCCGATTCGCGTATTCAAAGTGAGGCGAGGCTAGTTGCATGCCACGTCAATCGGAATTATTGGGAGAAAGAGAGGTGAAAGTAAAAAGCAAAGTGAAAAAGTAAAGTTAAAAGTCAAAAATAAAAAAGCCATAATTGTATTGAACACAGAAGTTGAAGATATGTGTCTCAGGAATCCCCAAACGGGCCCTGACCTATGTGCTGTTCACTTTTTCTGGTCTACACATCGCAGCGAGGTTGAAGCTGGATGGAGGCAAGACGAATCAAGGACTGGCGAAAAGGAACCAAATGCCATCCGACCCGTAACGGAGGGGGAAAAAGAACCAGGTGCTCTCTAAACACCCGTACCCTTGGGATGAATCCCGATGCTTGGTAGTCCCAGTATGTTGTATGCAGTATTTCCAGTCCCCCCAAACAAAACAGAGAGATATAGAAAGGCAGAGAGAGCTGGGCTTGGAGAACAGCCAAAAATATGGAACAAGAACAGATATAAGCAGAGATATGATCGGTAGCTTCGTTCTGGGCAGCTCAATCCCCGCCTGTAAAAAAAAGGTGCCTAGCAAATGTGCCGTCAGTACAGACGACCACGACGCGCGCTCTCTGGGCGCGATCCTTTCTTTTGTTTTTCCATTGAGTGTCTCAGAGAATATCCCAGACCTCTTCGGCAGCGTGGCAGAACTTGCTGCAGGCCACACTGGCACTAAGACTGTAATTACTGATACTGATGGTTTCATCCTTAAAAGAGTCCGCAAAGTCGTCGTTTCCCTTGGCCATGGCACCGACAAAGATGGCGACACTCTCATTGGGGTTCAGCGTCTCTAGATAGTCCTTGGTGCGGACCACGGGCGCCTCGAAACTCATGGTCACCTTGCGGCAGTTCGGGGGCAGATGGTCGGTGATCGGGTTCTTAATAACCTTGAGGAGCTTTTCTTGCGAGTTGGTCGAACGGATGGAGAGTCGGTGGAGCAGTTGCACCATGAGACCGGCGAACCGCTTGAATGTTCTCGGGATACGGACGGAAGGGTTGACTTCGATCAAGACGCCCTTGGCGGTGTGGATGAAAATTTGGAGCCGACCGGCCTTGTTCACGGGGGAATCGAGAAGAGTGAGCAGACACTACGCTGGATTAGTGGGGATTCTTTGACCTTGCTATTGCCACTGGCGATGTTGAATCGTACCTGGTGGGTAATATCCGGTCGGGCTTCACTGATATCGCGGTTCATTTTGCGCATGATACCGATGTGCTCATCGCTGTTCAACAGAGAGAACTTCTCATCCTTGGTTCCTGAACGTCCACTGGAGACAGCCTTGTAGGTTTCCAGACTGGCATTGGAGAGAACCACAATCAAGCGTTGGGTGTTCTTGTCATGGGGAGGGATTGGCATATGCTGTTCGGCGACGAGCTGGGGAAGCTCTGGAGGAGGGCATGACTGGGTCCCTGGCGATGAAAAGTCAGACATGATGAAGTTGAGAATTGCAATTTGGGCGCGGGGAGGGGTAAGGGAAGGTGGGAAAAGGTGACAGATGTGGCTGGGATGTGATCCGAGGGGATCAATGCCCAGCAATATGTCACACGGACCAAATCAGAATGAATCCCTGGAAGGATTGATGTTGGATTTTGAAGGGTTGGAGTCTGTAGTTGCGGCGAAAAAAAATCAAACACAGTTGAAGAGATTGCCGCAAAACAAGGGGAAAAAGACATAGAATCAAAAGAAATACTTACTCGCACGCTTTCTCTTTCCAGCAGCTTGTTCTTGGTCTGACATTGTTGGTCTGAATGTATTTGCAAGATGTTGAAGTTGAAGAGTTTTTGGGGGAGAAAACTTTCGGGGAAAAAGGCGGCCCCAAGAAAGTCGAGCGTCGGAATTATATAGAAATCTAATGCGTTTCTACGTAACTACGTTTCTCTTTTATTGTTTGTTAGAATGTATTCTTCGGACTATTTCAGTCTCAAGAGCAACATAGGAGAATGATAGACAAAATATGGGAGTCCACGCGCATGTATATCAACATCGGATATTGTATTTACTCGTACTCTTCGATCACCTTGGAAATTCCCTTTTATGTTAGCTTAACGGCTTAGTGCCAGAGATCGACATTAACTAACCCCTCTACGGGGTACATGCCTGTATACAATTCCAACAGCGTTTGAATCATCCGGAAAGCCACATCAGCTTCTCTTTTGCAGGTTGATAGGTCCAACATCCCAATAATAGCAAAGCGCCTGACAAGGATGTACCAACTCAACTTACTTGGGAGTAACTACCTCTGTACTAGCCCTGATAGACTGGTAATGTTGGTACCTACAGTACAGAGTCCTCTCTGGGGCATGAATATTGAATATCAGAGGATTGAGTTCGGATGATGAGGATGTGTAACATTCTTGCATAATACTGCGTTGGTGACTCAGAATACACTGATCTGACTGGCTCATGTTCTAGCAATGCCTCTTGGGGGCCAGCGTACACCGAGAGGCTGCTACCCAGTGGATGAGCAGGGTCAGCACAGATGTGAGGCCATGAATGGATCGGAATGGCAAAGGTGCTACAAGGAAGCTTTGTCACTAGGCAGTGAATCTGCCGAACAAGGAGCAGCTCTTCTGGTAATCTTTGAGGCAGCTCAGAGTGCCTGCCTCGCTCGTGATCTGGACCCCGCCGGTAGCGACCGGATGAATGTGTATCATGTAGGCTCCAGCACAAGCTCTTTGCACGATGACATGCCAAGGGCTCAGTTGCCACCGAGTCGGCACTGTGAGAGTGAAATCCGGGGGAGCCCATATGTGACCTGGTAACCTTAGCCAACTAGCATCAAGCCAATCACTTGAGCTCGGGACTTGACCCAATCAGCCCGGAAGAGTTTGTGTTGGGTTGGCAACGCCCCAGTATTCCCTGTGATGAAAATTAATTGCAGCCTATAACCGGTCAGCTGTAGGCGCTGGACATGAAAAAACAGAGCGGTCAATGAGGATCATCACAATTCCAACGTGGGCTTCCTTGCACGATGCAATACGGGGAGGCCTTGCACGCCTTAATCAGAGGCCAAGGGCTCAGGAGAGCGTCATCTTTAATCTCCCTGACTTTGGACTTATCCTAGACCAGAGAAGCCCCATTGGCTGGAATTTTCGATTGGAGCCTGTCTGTTGTGTGTTCGGAGCACTGTGAATCAATTTAAGTAGAAAGGGGGCGAAAAAAAAAGAAGTGCCCGACATACCAACCACAGGAATTCGACAAGGCTGGTGTTGTGTGTTATACTCCATTTATTGCATCTTCACGTCTTCACGTCTTGAATTTCCCCCTTCATCTTCTTCTCTTAAATCTCTCATCTTCCGCATTTCTCCTTGGCCCGGTATTAATCCCGGCTGGTGGCGAGACTCTCCTTTTTTTCACAAAACCCAGCTCTCCACCAACTATTGATCGCTTCATTTCTATTTTTCTTTTATCTTTTTCTCCCTGAACTTGAAATTGCTCTCAAGCAAACCTGAAATCCTCACAGTCAGGGATACAAGCCCTAAGAGCTCTGGTAAGTCAACGCTCGTCATCTAAAAACAATATGTCCTAAAACAGACTAGCGTCCACGCGTGCCGTCACCGAGGACTTTCTCAACTTCTTCATCCCGCCGTCAGCAGCTTGGAGCTTGTCAGGAGCAAATTTTTTGGAAAGTCAGGGTCATGCCGTGGATAGTTACCAATTCATTTAAGAGGTATGTTGATGTGGTTCTAATTTACCCCAGCGTGACTAACATCCCACTTCAGAGGCCTCATGAAAACTTACGGACGACCAACATGGCGCGTCTACGATGATGAGCGCGCCGCGAAGAAAAGACGCGTGGATGACTATGATGAAGCTGAGGCCAATCTGCAATATGCTATCCGGGAATCTTCAGCTGCCGTGCTGTCGAGCCCGTCGCGTCGTAATTCCGTGTTGTCGGAAGACACGCTTGATGATATTGACGATCTCACTACACCACCATCGTCGCCACCACCAAGCTTAACCCCACCACCAGCAAACACTCGCAAGCCGACATTTGCATTTCTCAAGCGCAAGCACAAGGAAACTCCGACCGCATCACCCTTGACAGAGGTGAACTCGAATAGCGTACGCGCATCCGTGGACCCACCAAAACAAAAGGGTCAGAAACAACCTGTCATGCGCCAAATGCAGATCGACCTGGGAAATGATACACGAAAGACTTGTGCTACCTGTTCTATGGAGTACATCCCATCCAATACAGAGGACGCGGCACTGCATAAAAAATTCCACGAGATGAATGCGACTGGGATCGACCTGGGCAAGGCATTTATGCGTGCCAACGCCTCACGTTGGGTTTACGAAGCGACTCGATTCGACGAGGGGTATGTGGTCATCGTGGACCGCAAGGCGTCCCCTAGCGCCAAGAGCCAAGCGAAGAAAGTGCTCGAGGTTGTCAATAAAGAGCTCTCCTCACCGGATATCGATGACGAGATCCTCTGGAGCCAAACGGAACCGCCCAAGCATTTGCAAAAGGGCTCTCCCGAGAAAGTAGACCGGTACCGAGTCTTTCTGCACATGAAGGACAGTCGCTGTGTCGGGCTCTGCCTAACCGAGCGCATCTGGGAATGCCGACCGGTGGTCAAGGAACAGAATGGCGACGCACCCAACGGCTCTGTCTCGACACGAGATGAAATCTGCCCGGCCATTGTCGGAGTCTCGCGCATCTGGACTTCCGGATCCTCGCGGCGCAAGGGAATCGCTTTAGATCTCCTCGACTGCGTGGTCATCAACTTTATTTACGGAATGGAAATAACAAAGGCACAAATTGCATTCAGCCAGCCTACGGAGAGCGGCAATCGCCTGGCACATAAGTTTTTCGAGGGTGAAGAGACATGGCATGTCTATAACGAGCAGTGATGGGTTGACTTGAATATGGGAGGTCTTTCTTTTTCTTTAATTTATCTCACAGCAATGAGCGAGGCATCGGGCTTTGATTGTGTTCTCGAGCGTGTCTTTTTATTTTTTATATGCTTCTGTACCATACCTGGACCCTTTTTCCCGTGTACCATAGGGAGCTGGGACGCATTCGTTTCAATATTCCAATTTGACTGAACTATTATCTCCGTATAAAAACAATTTGTACGTCTTGTACTTCTTTTTATGCATTTTATTCAAGCCTCGGGCAGCCGGACTCGATCTCGGAAAGCGGCGCGTACTGGGAACCTCATGGATAAGAAACTCGGCGGGGACCCCTCAATTCTTCTCTTTTTCTTTTTCTCTCGATTCTAACGTATTCATTCTCGCGATGCCTGGATCAAATCCTTTTCGTGTTAGAAACCTGGGTGAGTATTGTTTTCCCCTCCTCTTGAGCCTTCCCGGTAACACGGAGTCATAACGTGGCGCTGATGTCAATCTGGAGACACAGGCAATCCCGCAGCTCCATTGTCTACCAACCCGGGCACCTTGGCCCCTGTGCCTTCTAAGCCTCTGTCCACTCCACCTATAGCCCCGAATGGTTACCCCAGGAAGTCATCGATACCGCTCGAACGCGAGGTAGCTGACTCGAGCTCCTCGGACGAAGAGACAAACCCATTCAACCTGCGTGTGTCGGCGAGCGAGAGTGAGGAGAAAATCAATGCACACAAGAGCCCAGCTCCCCTTGAGGATGATCGACAACGAGATTATTCTGGGTCAGCTCCACATCTAGCTCCATCAACAGATGGATCCCCCATATCACCCGACCACAACATGCCGTCTGCGACAGGCGCAGACAGCTTCTATACAGGACGTCATGCACGGTCGTCTATAGAGCTTGATGCAAGCCCCGTCGGCCGAGCCAGAGACAAGAAGCCGCCACCTCCGCCTAGGAGTCATCACGGCCGAAGAATCGGCTCTATAGCCACCGCAGAACCATCCCAGACCGCTCGGTCCAGGTCTACTAACCGCCTGTCAATTCCTGGCTCCCCTGGAAATCTGACGCTTGGCACCTCGCATCCCAGCTCGGTGTCTCTATCCTCGGCCGACTACTTCTCGGTCACTGTAGCGACAGGGTCCACGGACTCGCTCCAGCGCAGCCAGTCTCAGCATAAGCGTCCCCCGACGCCACCTCTCAGTCGACGGCACAGCCAGATGCGGAGATCCAAGTCTACACAGTCCAAAATTACCAGCAGATTAAATATGTCTTACGATTCGGAGAGCAATGATGGCTCTCTGCCTCCCAGCCCGGGCCCTTCCAGTCGGGCGGAAAACAAGAGACTCAGCATGCCTCCGCCATCCTCGGGAGACTTCCAGGCGACTGCGCCGTTGGGAAATATCTCACTGAACCTGTCTCCCCCCACTAACTCCAGACCATCATCACTGAAGGCTGGTCGGCGGACATCATCCTATGGGAGTGTCTCTGGACCACCTCCGCCTCCTCCACCTCGGCGCACTCGAGACTCCATTGCCCGTAGCAGTGATGTGATGGGGTTGAAGGAGAACCAGTCCCCAGCCCCAGTTCCAGTCCCAGCCCCACAACCATCCAATGCCCTTGACATCCTGGCTGATCTCACCAAACTGCAGAAAGAGGTGGATGATCTCCGAGGGCATTATGAGAATCGTTAGTGATCGAAGGGGGCAGCAGGCTGTTTTCTCTCACGTTTTAGTATAGGCGATTGCATACATGAATGAACGAATGCATGAATTTGGCGTAGTGATTACCAGTATTGAATTTCTGGTAAACACCTTTATGGGGAAAGATGGGCGGGACAGATATTAACCATATGGTGGCTATTAGTGCCCATCACGATAGCTCCGGTTTGTATAAAATAGGGGCGAAATATAACTCTCTAATATTCATTTTCGACCGAATAAACTGGATAATTCAATATCTCGTCAAGAATAGAGCCCCTCTAAGTGGAATAGCCGATCAATAGACCTGGTACTCTCCTATTAATATGGTGGCCCGCAGTATTGTCCCCATGGCCGTTAACTCTCGCGGTATACGCCACGAGGTATGACGTGGGGGGAAATTAATTATTTAGTTCGCAAAGTCCAAGGCCAAGTCCACCCTCCTTCCCTCTTTCTCTCCATCTTCTCTTTTGACAGCTCTCGCATTACTGACTCTACTTAATTTCTAAAGAATTAGTTCATCTTCATATCTTCGCATCATGAATACTCCCACGCTGATCAATTTGCCTCCTCCCCCATCGGACCCCGTCACTCCATCGGATATGGGACCGTAAGAGCTCTCTATAACTCCATCTTCCCTGTCTCTATACGTAGCATGGAGTGTTGACTGACTTGCTAATCAACGGAGAAAATCAGAGGCACCCCCAACTCCGGCACTACATCGCTGTCCGCTCTTTCGACAACAGCCATCAAAGATGGTCACCAGGGCCAACCATTCCCTCACAGCCACCATGCGCACCAGTCCTCCACATCCTCCACAACCCTAGAGGCTGAGCGCGCAGACCGCATCTCCCGTCTAGCGGGCCTTGAGCGCGTTGCCACAGCCCGCGCCGGTGGCCAGACACCCACTAGCCAGCTTCTGCCATATGCCCCAGGATACTTCGAGAGTCAAGCACTGAAGGAGCGCAGCACAGTCGGCAGCGCCAGTGCGACTGGAAGCGTCGCCGGACGCACGACCTGGGCGAGCAGTAGCGACACATACGACGCCGACAAGATGAGCGAGCACGAGGACGACGGCACTTCCAGTGTCAGTAACGTCAGTGATGAAGGTAATGCCAGTCTCGTCGGTTTTGGCGAGGGCGCCAACAGTACTTACAGCGGGCCGATTTCTCGTCCGCCTGGAATGAGCCGTGTGTCCTCTGGAGGTATTGCAGGACGGCCTACTTCTATCGGCAGCTCGAATATCAATCGCCCGAACTCGCTGGCTTCATATCTCCAGCAACAACAGCAACATGCTGGGGAGAGCTCCATGAGGTCGTCGTCGCCGGCTGGGTCAATCACCCCCGAGCCTATCAATGAGGATGCTCGCATGGTGGATGGTATGACTTTTGACTCGGATGTCGTTGATACTACTGTCAGAACTCCACGATTGGTTTCTACACCCGGTCATAGCAGCAGTGGATTTGGCTCGCCAGCCCGGGATTAGTGTCTGGTTCATGCTTTGGTAGATTCAAGAAGTTACGAAGGCGTTTTTCTTTAGTGGCTTGATGCCTCGAATGGATAGCTTTTTTTTTGTGTCTGTTTGGAATTAGCAATGACTACTCCTGTAATTCTAGGAGAAACCTGTGTATTGAGACTCTTCTCTTTCAATTATCTAACGTGTTGGTAACTACCTGGGTCTTCCCTCTAAAGACCATTGCCACCTGTCTTTCCACATAAATACAGACACCTAGACAATATCCTTGCTATTTAACATAGAATAATATATCAGCAAGCTGCCATATAGTCTATCAAGCTCCAAGCCAAGCCCGAAGCCCATGACCTATACAATTGGTGTCCCGGCACAACGCGTATACTGCAGATGACGGCATGCCGCCTGAGCCACATCGCCAAACCCGAGTTTTCTTCCTTTCACTTCTCAACCACCCCAACTACCTTTCTTCGCCCGACCCCTTTTGCTGGCATTGACTTGTCTAGCAGTCTTCTATTCCGCCGACTTGCTGGTTTCACTTGCCCAGAAACCCCACGAATTCCCAATCCGAGAAATACCCCCGAAAAGCCCGTTTCGCTTCGCCTTTGTTCGACTCCCGTTATTTCACCGGGACCGTTGTTCGCTGCGAGACTATTTTGGTCCTATAAGTTCGCTTTGTGATTCGTGTTTCTTCCTAGAAGATTCCATTTTACTTTGTGTTCCCGAAAAGCATTCGATTTCTCTTCTTTTGGTGGATTCATTCTAGACCCGCGAGTCGAAATCAAGATGGCTGCTCCTACGCAACTTGCTTGTACGTGTTTTCCTTTCCTTATACTTGTTCTCGTCAGCTTGTATTTGGCTATGCGAGTGGATCAATGGTTGCTGATAATCACACAGTCCGCACGCTCAAGGGCATTAGCATCATGGATGCTGCCCCTGTCTACCAGCCCCTTTCTGGGTTCGCGAAGTAAGCATTGAGCCAGATAACAAACAAGGGATATCGCTGACTCGTTTCCCAGACCGGAGGGCAACCTCCGCTGTAGCGGCTACTCGCCGTGTGGCCGGTACTTCGCATGGGCATCACCTGAGAAGTAAGTTGATTGCCCCCCGATTCCACGTCCAAAATCTAACATTCCTCTCCAACACAGTGTCACCATTATCGACCCCTCCGTGGGCCAAGTCGTTGGAACCATCCCCGCCGAGAACGTGTTCGAGCTTGGATTCTCGCCACTCGGCACCTATGTGATCACCTGGCAGCGCACATCCAAGGACGAGAACGGAGACGCCGTCAAGAACTTGAAGGTGTGGCGTGCCATTGAGGATGGGGACGATCACACGGTTGTGGGAAGTTTCGTCCAGAAGTCGCAGACCGGTTGGAACTTGCAGTACACTGCCGATGAGCGGTTGTGCGCCCGCACCGTGACCAACGAGGTTCAGTTCTACCAGAGCGACAACCTGTCCACCGTTTGGAACAAATTGCGCGTGGAGGGAGTGGCGGATTTTGCGTTGTCGCCTGGTCAGACTCAGTCCATTGCCGTGTTCATTCCTGAGCGCAAGGGCCAGCCCGCCCAGGTTAAGGTGTTCATTGTCCCGCAGTTCACTTCGCCCGTGTCGCAGAAGAGTTTCTTCAAGGGCGATAAAGTCCAACTGAAGTGGAACGCTTCGGGAACTACTTTGATCGTGCTTGCGCAGACTGAGGTGGACCGCACTGGCAAGAGTTACTACGGCGAGACAACCCTGTACTTGCTAAGCGCTAGCGGTTCATTCGACTCGCGCATTGATCTTGGTATGTCTCCTCACTTTAGTACATGTTGAACTAACTGACACTCCACAGATAAGGAGGGTCCTATTCACGATGTTAGCTGGAACCCCAACTCGAAGGAATTCGGTGTTGTGTACGGCTACATGCCCACGAAGACGACCATCTTCAACTTCCGCGGTGTGCCCAAACACAACTTCCCCCTTGCGCCGCGCAACACCATCCAGTTCTCGCCGCACGGCCGCTTCGTGCTAGTTGCCGGTTTCGGTAACCTGGCAGGACAGATGGACATCTACGATATGGACAAGAACTACCACAAGATCACCACCGTCGAGGCCTCCAACGCCAGCGTGTGCGCCTGGTCGCCCGATGGACAGTATATTCTGACTGCGACGACCAGTCCCCGTCTGCGTGTCGACAACGGCGTGCGCATCTGGCACGTTACCGGCGGTCTCGTCTACAACGAGGAGATGACCGAGCTCTACGACGTCAGCTGGCGCCCGCAGAGCATCGAGCAGCACCCGCTGGGCGAGCCGCTCACCAAAGTGCCTGCGCCCCACCCCTCCGCTCTCGCGTATATGGGCACGCGCAAGGCTCCCGTCAAGCCCGCAGGTGCCTACCGTCCCCCTGGTGCCCGCGGCCAGCTGACCCCGCTCGCATTCAAGCGTGAAGACGAAGGCGGTGCCGCCTTTGTCCGCGATGGCGTGTCCGGCGCCAGCATGAACACTTTCGGCAAGCCCCGTCGCCGTGAGATCCCCGGTGCCGAGCCCTCGGAGGAGTATCTGCCTCCCGGAGCCGCACCCGGCGGCGGCGTCGCCCTGCCTGCCGAGAACCTGTCCAAGTCGGCCGCGAAGAACAAGAAGAAGCGTGAGGCGGCCAAGAAGGCTAAGGAAGAAGGAACCGACGTTCCCGCGAACGCCCCGACTGCGCCCAGCTCAGAACGCAGTCGTAACCGCGGCAAGAATGGCACTACGAATGGAAACGGTCCGGCCAAGTCCGCGCCTACTCCTCCTCCCGCTGCTCCTGCTCCTGCTCCCACCCCTCCTCCCCCTGCTCCCGTGTCTGTTGAGGATTCCTCTGCTCAAGATAAGAAGGTCCGTGGCCTACTGAAGAAGATTCGCGCTATTGATGAGCTTAAAATGCGTCTTGCAGGTGGCGAGAAGCTGGAGGATACGCAGATGAAGAAGATCCAGACTGAGGATGCGGTGAGGAAAGAGCTCCAGGCTGTTGGGTATGATGGTTGATTGGAATTGAACAGAGAATGCGTGATGCTTGATGCTCGACGCTTGACGACGTTATGCAGATTGCACCCTTGCATGGATATACTTATCGACCTGCGTGTATTGCATCTGGTATAGGAGCTGTTCAGATTGATATCGATATCCGTATCAATATCAATACCACTCACTATCAATATAAACTTGAAATGGCTTATAGAATATCTGTAACAATAACCATCTACACTAAATTTACATCTATCTAGAATATCTCACAGATCTGACTCTAGTGGACCAGAAAAGAAGTAGAAAAGAGGTGATACGGCCGAATGAAGGCTCTCGATTGTCTGCAATGAACTTCTGGGAAATTTATATTTCAGAAAAAAAGAAATTAGGAATGCACATGGCATTGAAGACTCAATCTCTCTTCCTAATGCGAATAAAATTATATCTGACTCTCTCCCTCAAGATCTCCAACCTGAACACCCCAAACTTGCCACTTAGCTTCTTCAACGAAGTCCCTCCGCAACCACAGCCCAGACGGCTGACCCTGCGTCGAAGATAGCAGCCCTCTACTCGAAAGATGGTCGCGTTCATCGCCAGGCTGAGTACGATCCAGCCAATCAAATAGCAAACGAAGCTGCCAGATCCGATCACGAATTTGGTCCGGATCAGCGCCGCGACCGCGTGCGGATTGCACGATGTTGCGCACGGTGTGGGACAGAGCGAGTCTCGCATCTACAGCCGAGGTACGCAGCCAAGGTGGTACGGAGATAAGATCGGTGGTGATGCGCGCGGAGCGCATCGGGAAGGAAGATGGGAGGACGAGGGAGCGCTCGCGGATGTCGAGGTCTTGTAGGGATGGGAGGTGGAAGACCCAGTCCCAGGGGTTTTGGGACGGAGTTATCAATGTAGATGCCTTGCCGGTGAGTAGGGCCATGCGGGTTGGCCATGCTGAGGGTGGGAGGCCCTTGGCTGGGTTCGAGAGGGGGCCAGCGGTTGCCGGGAGGATGTCTTGGGCTTCGCTGAGGCCGGTCAGGGTAGAGGCGAATACGGAGGTTGAGGAGCTTGGACTGTAGGTTGCCTTGCGGCGAAGATAGATGGATGGGTCGCCGCGGAGGAACTTTTCGCGCAGGGCATCGTTCTGGCTGAAATCTAGAACGAGCGGCCAGTGGTCTGGTCCGCGAATCTCGATACGGGCGATGCTACTAAGATCTGGCAGTAGACAGGGAGCGCTGACGGTGCGGGTTGTCTCGTCATGAGAAGTGATGGTAATGGGTATCGAAATTGGGCGGCGGGAATCAAGATCACGAGGGATGAGGCATCGCGGTTCAGCCGCGAGAACCCAGAGATGGCGGAAGGCTTGGAGATGGCATTTGTTATCAAGGACAGTCGTTGGGAAGATAGGGTAGAATGCGCATATGAGCGCGGTCACAGCCCGGTTGGATGTGCCAAGTGTATAGCTGCCTCCTCCGAGGAAGAGTATTCCGATAGCCATGTGTGCCGCCATGTGACTGCCATATGGTGTATCAGCGTCGATTCGACCATGGAGCGAGCGCAGGCGCCGGAACAGAGCTAGATCACCCGTGCCGGCCATGACTGCCGCAGCAGATAGGGCTACCAAGTCTTGACAATTCCGAACCGAATTGCGGGCGAGTCTAGCATCGTAGCTTCGCACAGGCAGCCGTGAGATGCGGATAAGCTGGTCTAAATAAAACAACAAAAGATCTCGGGCCTGTGCTTGTCCCGATCCAGCATGGCGGAGACCGACGGCAAAGCAGAGGCCTGCAATAATGTTGAAGAATGGCATATCTTCGCTGCGCAGCCGGCGCACCTCGCTGAGTTGGGATCGTCCCCGGTAGACTTCGGGCAGACTCTGGCTGATCCACTCAGCAGTGGGCTTGATACTATCCCACATGATCAAGTGTCGTGCCAGTGTTCGTAACAGGAAGATATCTGGCCTCACGTAGTCGAAGCGAACAGTAGTATCAGGAATGTCAATCTTCTTCGCTAGTACCGAGTCATTTGTCTTCATGAAGATAATCATGAGAGCGATGGTCGCGCCAGCCGTGGCGCGGTCGAGTACATGAGCGATTTCGACGGTCTTGGTACCCACGGCGATTGACAATAGCCGTTCAACAATGTGCATATCGCGCATGCCCCGCAAGTCATCGCCTTTGCCAAGGTTAATGAAACCGAGGGCAAAGCCTGCGGCCAGACGATATCCTTCGTCGCGGAGTTCTTCTCCGGTAGCAGCAGCTTGCTCGTCCTGCTCACTGTTCTCGATTTCCGAGAGCATGACCTCGCTCATACGACGATGCTGGGAGCCACAGTAAAGTAAACCGATGCCCATAATTCCAGCAGTCTGAGTCAAAGGTGACAGGTTCAACTCAGCTGCTCCAAATGGAAGCATTCTTGTAACATGTACCGAAAGCAAGCGTGTGATTAGAGTATCCATTGTGCCCAGGTATGACGCAGAAAGACCGAGCAGGAGACCAATTGATGTCATGGTATGCTTTGGAGTAAGGTACTTAAAAGCTACCCACTTAGCCAACGATTTAAGATGGCCATTCAGACCCAGAGCCAACAAGAACCCGGCATGACGGTTGGTAAGATCCTGTGGCTTGTTGAACAAGATCCACGACGTATCAATACCCTTCGAAGCCTTGGAGATTGCCAGACCGGTTGAGACTCCGTTGTGGAAGAAGGCCCAGCAGACCTTTTCTTCCGAGAACGCAGATTTATCCGCGCTGACAGTCACATTGTCCGGCTTCATGACACACTGCAGGGAAAATGAAGGGATGGGCAGTTTCTCAGTCAACAAAGGCAATCGGCCACTAAAAGTGAGCATTGCACGACCCGCTGGAGTAGACAACGTCCGGACTGTCACGAGCTGCACGATTTCTTTCTGCGCCTCTAACAAGTCCGAGTCACTCCAGCCAGGTTCGGCTATGCACTCTGCCACCGGTGCTTTGGACTGGTTTAGTAGTTTAGCTGCTTCCATAAATCGCTTATCCTCTCGGAATATCAGCCTGGTGACTGAGTATCGGTCAGCCTCTGCAGAGGCCTCAAACGCATTGATGGTATCAATATCCAATGCTGAGCTGCTGATATAATGGAAATCCCGAACGGCATTATGATTGGGCTGCTGCGGCACTGCCAATGAATTGGGTTGGGCCGGGTTCATCGACATATAAAGGTCTTCTCTGTCAATCATTTCTAGGAGCGTGGCGTTCCAGGACGTGGAGGCTTCGATCTGGCATTGCATGACGGCTTCATAGAGCGGGGCACTGACGCCTTCTGGGAAGCTATCAATGACACTCTTTGTGAAGCCCCAACGCTGCAAAAGCTTGATTTTTTCCAAGGGTGTCGATACACTGTGAACCTCGGTGAAGAATCCATTCAACGCACACGTCCTTGGTGTGATACCGAAACATTCACGCCACATTCGCCCTTTTCTGGGAGTTCGCTCGGCTGCATTCACAATATCAAGGAGAGAAACAAACGGTGTGGGACTCCGATGAGCAGCAGCTCCCATGAGAAATTCGAAGATGGACGGAGGCGGGAAAGGTTCGGCGGGAACCTTTAGCCCAGCGATATGTGTATTATCCTCAAACTGCCAGCGCTCCATACTGGCCATTTCGGTGCCATAATATGCATCCTCGGCCCATGTCCAGGATTCCCATCCTAGCCAGCTGCCCAGTTGTGCAATAACGGGAGCAAGCAAACCTAGAGGTCTTTGGGATTCCTCCGAGTCGCAGGTGGAGAGCTTCTGTTCTTCCCGCAATAGATGCAAGGCTACAAGAACACTGCACAATGCGGTACATCTTGTGTTTTCCGAGAATGCTTCAGAGACAGGGAGGCAGCCGTCTCGGCCAGCAGCCTTGAGGCCTTCGGGACTCTGGAGGAATTCACGGCTGAGGGCGATGCACCGGATCAAGCACGAATTCTGGCGATATGTAGACCGACTTGCGTTGACACCCTTGGGTGCGTCTCCTGACGCGAGACTCTCAATTGCATCTTGTTCAACGATCCATCCCCAGGAACTGTCCATCATCCACGGAGCTACAACGCCGGATGAGCCAGACTCCAGGTCCAGCATGGACTCCCAGCTTTCCAGATCCAGGTGTCCTCCACTACTTGATCTGAGTAGACCCTTTTGCGACGCGTTCGTTTGGGAGTCTGCGTTTGTGGAGGGGTGACGAATGGGGCTGCTAGACTCAACAAGACGACTGTCATGGCGGTCCACTCAATGTTGTTTTCCTCCTTGCCTCGAAGCCATTTCATGACCTCCCACCATGCGACCGTGATGCCATCGCCCGCTTTCTCAGACTCACGCAAGGCAAACATGCAGATTTTGAGTATTTTCTTCACTAGTTCATTGCGAGGCTCCATTCGAATTTGGAGTCTGTGATGCTTTTTATCAGTGTCTACCAGGTCGACTTTCCCGCGGGAGCATCCATGATCAAACTTGTTGAAGACGAGGCTGGGATCTGCCATGACTCGGTGGACACCACTTTCTCTTGGGCGACTCTCGAGTTTGTTGGCAGAGATGCCATCCGGTTCATACAGCTGCAGTGGAACAGGAACCTCAACTTTGACTGGACTACCCCACAGGGTTTGCAATGATAGCTCGCGTTGTCCGCTTTCTGTTTCGCTTAGTGAGAGTATTCGCGAAAGATCCCCATCAGAGATTCTACAAGCATCCAAAACATTTGAGACATTTTGGATCCTAACCGCACGCACGAGTAATGGGGTCTTGGACTTTTTCTTCCGGTTCTTGGGGGCTGGCTGTCGGTCGGCCCTCAGATTCACAATAGTTAATTTCCGTGCCTCCTGGTCCACGATGTATACAGCTAGGGAAGTTGTGTTGCCTTTGTGGGCGCTTCCAAACTCGGTGGATGCCAATGTAGAGATCTTCAACCGGCGAGATGCTGGCTCTTTTTGGAAGCTGCCCGAGAATTGGGACGAGAAACTTTCAACCTTGGTCAATATAAGTTCTTCCGGGAGTCCGGATGTCGATTCACGTAGGGCAATGTTGTCAACCCCGGAAGATAGACTGTCATTGTTGAGCTCTTCGAGTAGCTTGTCCACTGGAGTATCCAGAAAGCTGCCCGCAGTGCTGTAAACAGACCCTGTGCCTGGAGGTAGAGAGCCTCGAGGATTGAAACCAAAGCTTCCACGCATGCTTGCTCCGAGAGATTGCCTGAACCCAGCACCATGAGGCATGTTGCTGGACTGACTGCCAGTAGCCAGGTCCGAAAAAGTGATACGGTCCTGGCTAGTTGCAAGGTCTGTTCGGGCGAGCAGTGAGCTGACTCGCCTCGATGTTTTAAGGGGAACACCGACATCTCCGAAGTCTTGGGCTACTCTCGAAGCCAAGTCGTCTTCAGCATCATTCCTCCCTTCAGATAGCTGAGTGGAAGGCCAGTTGTCAGTCCGAGGCCCGAAGCTCTCTCGGCCTGCTCCAGAGCGAGCGGCTGGTGTTGTCGCGCCAGTCGCCATCCCGAAATGCGAGCTTCGCCTTACTGACCGGGTACCTCCTGTTTCCCGTCTGGTTTTATCTTTCATCGAGCCGCCTGATTCATCATCTTTGTAGCGCGCAGTCCAGATCGTATAAATACCTGTAGTTGTGTTGATGGTAACCACTAGGATCAAAGGACCACTATTTGGTCTGTTGATGCCCGAGAGTTCGTCTTTTGGAGAGATATACACAATCTCATCCACAGGGTCCAACACCTCTAGTCTAGACGGCCTTTTTCTGGTGCTATTGATGCTGCTCTGAAGCCAGCGGGAAGTTTGCGACGTCACAACCAAACCCATCTCGGAATGAGGGTTAATGAGAGAGAAAACTCGGGGTAAGTCGGTGCTTGAGGCTGTATTTGGCACCCAGGAAGGACCTGGAGCAGACGACGATTTCGTCGATGGACGCTTGTTTTTGCTGAGAGAGAATGACTGAGAGGCACCGGGATCAAATAGCGAAGACATGAAGGAATTAGGCGGCGCAGTCGGTTGCTGACTGCTACTATTTTCATCCTGGACCTTTCTTTGGAAAATAAGACCCCGAGGCGTAGCGAAGACCGAGTCAACCTCAAATGGGAGGGGAATTGTATGGCTATTGCCCGCCACGAAGAAGATATGAGCTTGCGATTTGAGAACTACCACCAACGCTCTAGAAAGAGCCTCGTTGGAGTGCTGGGGAGCTACAACCGCCACTCGTGCATCTCCATGTAGATCCAATGTTGAGAAGGTTTCAGTCCGTTTTTGTTTCTGCGTGCCAGTAGTTGCTTCAGGTCGACTTGGAGGCGTGGGTTTGGCGCGTTTCGTGTCTTCAGCGGCAAAACGAGTGAATAAAGCATGTCGAATCTCTTCTTTCTCGGGGTCCATTCGAAATACTCGCTTCACCATCCCTGCGCGGGACCATACAACACAGTGTTTCGTCCATACTAACTCATCGTCCACCGGGCCAGTCAATCCGCTTTCGTCCACGCATAGCGTCCAGTTGTAATGGTCTTCTGAAGGTTCCTGAGGGAGAATTCCCTCTGCGACTAAGTAGGAGATGGCCGAGGGTTCGTGGACGCCCAAAGAGCGAACTGACGCCATGGTGGGCTGCTTAACAGCCGTAGCGATCGTGGTCCGCCGTCACAAACAGTTCTGCAGTCAAACTCGTTGAAATCATTTCCATCGATCATATAAGTCATGCAAGTTCAATTAACGGTGCGCTAAGAACGCATGCCAAGTGGTTGAATGGCGAAGTTGGAAGACGCGCTGGAACACGGATTGGATCAAGTTGTCTTCGCTTTCCCCGACCAAAACAACTTCCTTTCTCCATCTACCCAACCCTCCACTCTCCCTACCTCTAACATCCTTCTCTCAATCTGCTTTTGCATAGGAACAGACGTTCAGTTATCAGATCTTACTTTGACTACAAATCTTCGACTGTCTATCATCCCTGCGGTGCACTGTTGCGCCTGTGCTCGAAGCTACCTGTAGCTCGACAGCATCGCCAACTAACACAATGCCCTCATTTCCCACTACGCCCTTGGTGCGGCCTAGGGAAGATGGCTTGCAGATCAGGTATGAGTGATGCGCTTAGGTCACGATACTTGGATTGACGCTAATCTCGTTTTTGCAAAATCTTTAGCTATCCGCTCTCCCATCGCATTCACACAGCAAAAGGCTACCCACTTCGAGCTCCGAATGGCTCCTCGATCATCATTTACGGTTACGATACTGGATTAAAAATTGTGTGGAGAGGAGGGAAACGGTTTGCCGAACTAAAGCTGACTCGGCCTCAAGCGAAGCCCAAGCCAGCAGGAAACAATGCGGATTCCGATTCAGTCATGATTATTGACTCCGATGACGAGGACCCTCAACCAGCACAAGAAGAACCTGTGGTTGAATTCAGTCTAGAGGAAAGCGAGGTTGACCCTGCTGCTCCGTACGAAGAGATTCTGCGACAAATTGATATTCCCCTTGGAAGCCAGGTGCTAGAAGTGGCGGTGCCCCGTGTTCTCCCCGAGGAAGCTCGCTCGCCTTTAGACCCCTTCCCACCTATACTGAGAAACACAATTGTTGTGTCGGTAGTTTGTTCGGACCTGTCAACAAAAGTTGTGACTCTACCACTTGTGCCTCCTCACCCTAGGCAGACGGATTCAAAAAGCTGGCGCATCCAAACCCTCTCGATCAATGGGGCCACCACTCATCAAGATATTCCACGTGGTGTATCTATCACATTCACCTGTCATGAATTTGAGGATGAGCAAGACCAGCGAAAATCGCGGGGCCGATTTGGAAATTTTGGTAAATGGGATCTGCTTGTGGCCACGCATTCTGCAGAGGGATGTGGCGTGCTGTTGCTGCACCGGATTCCGATCCGCGAGGAATCCTCTTTGCGTCTCGTGGAAGAGGACATTATCTCTCAACGGCGCCTCTTGCCGGCACCTGCACAGACGATTGCCTTCAACCCATCCACATGGCCATCCCCCCGTCATGCCAACCTGCTTGTCGCATTCTACAGCGGATGTGTGAAGATTTATTCTTGCTTTGTTAAAAAGGCCTCGAAATCCTTGCGACGGGCTTCGATGCCAGTAGAAGAATATGAAACTATCGACACGGAAGGTCGCTGGTTGATCAATTTGTACCCCGGCTTTGAGCAAGGGCCCGGCGGACTTCCCCGGCGGAAGAGAATCATTGATGCCGACTGGGTGCTTGGCGGCCGAGCAGTTATGGTGCTTCTCGAAGACGGCGAATGGGGCGTATGGGATATCGAAGGTGCCGGTCCTGGTGCTGTCAAGGGCCCGCTGCAACGTCAGACGAGTGTCCAAGGTGTGACTGGCGGCTCCTTGACAGCATACGCTGTCTGCGGTCGTATTATGACACCACTTTCCAACACCAACTCCGAAACAGAGCAGCGACCCCGGTTCGCGCCTATGACACCATCCACAAGACGGGTACGTGAAGATGGATTGCTGAAGGGATCGATGAGCACAGCCAGTCCGTCTCACCGTGGCCAAATCTCTGTCTTGCAGACAAATCCATCCTCGGACGTATTGCCTGACGAATCGATCCTGCTCCGTCACGGCCGCCAGAGCGCGGTCATCACGAGCTTACTGTCTCTGTGGCGCAACGCTGTCAAAACCACCGGCACTTTTGATTCCTCAAACCGATGCCGCGTTTCTCCTTTCCAGGACGTAAATTTGATGGGCCAGAACTTCCAAGCAATTGGACACATACCTGCACCGGCACGCCGATCACGGCAAGCAGTGCGGCAAGTCTGGGATGTACTTGTGGCAGCAGAGCACCAGATCATGATTCTCGCCCCGAGGTTGACAGAATCCATCGAGGAAAGCCTGCCCGTAGTGAAACAGGAAGAAACAGAAGAGACCGACCAGCTGATGCTCCGACGAGGCGAACTGGATGTGGAAGGAATGGGCCGCCTACTGAATGGTATGGCCGGCGGAAACGCGTCTATGCGTATGGGCAGCCCTGTAAAGCGGACCCGCGTGTTCGCCTGATCTCAGTCATAGTCTACTAATACCCATACTCCAAGTTTCTTGCTTCTGTTATGCTCACGTTCTACTCATTCATAGGATACTATTCGCGCTGTAAGGTGGAGCGCAAGGCGAGATCCATGCCTTGAAATTCCTTCCTCGGAAGTGAATAAGCTCTGTATCGGATGCGATATATCAATGACCGTTGCAAAAAGTGCTATGCACGACCCTGACATTGCAATTGAATGTTGCAGTGCAACATTCCGTTGCAATTCTCGTATTTGGCTTTGGGTTCCCATCTTCGTCTCTGTTCTACTGCGGATATCGATCTGTCTCTCGACGAATCTTACATCGATGGCCGCGGGGGCAGAGGAGGGGATGGCCAAAGTTGGATGCGAGTGAACATGGGTATGATGGGACATTTCAATTAGAAAGCGTAGATGTGCACCTGATACAATTGAATATTATCATGACTTTTTTGTACTGTATGCATAAACATATATATCATGTTAGTTTCCTCAGCCGAACAAAATGCAACGACATCATCTATAGAGATCGATGCTGGTTTTCCTTCAACAACCCACGATCACCACCTCCTCCCTTCTGCCACAACCATATACCCTCAACTGCCCATGCAGCCGCACTAGCATGACGACCAACACCGGATGCAAGAGGCAAGTCACTACCCTCGGCATCTTTTATATTTTTGCTCTTATCTCTACCCTGGGTCTGACCAGCAGCGCCATCGGCCTCGGCAAGCATACCAGCAACAATGCCTTCCTTTTCAATAACGAACCAGAGTCCATCGGACAACTGCCCGCCCCGCTCTCCAAACTCTGCTCGACCGAGACGGAATAAGATCCGGCCAACGACCTGCCACGCGATGCATCGCTGCGCGGGGAACGTCGAGCGTGCCAGAATCGCCAGCTCGGGGATCGTGTAACCCGCGGCATGCGGATCCTCGCCGTGATGGTGCAGGCCCATGGTTGTCGGGAGGGAGAGGGATGTTTCGGGAGCAAGGATGGTGCCTCTTAGTGAGAAGCGGATTGCCGAGGGCGCCATTGAGATGGCGTTGCTGGCTGGGTGGTAGGCTGACGTGGAATCTGGGTCTTCTTCGTCGGCGGAGAGAGGCTGCATCCAGGAGAGCGTTGATGGGTCCTGTGCTATCTCGGGGAAGTAACGTGACTGGAGATCTGCCAGGAAAGACGGTGAAGATGGGTCTAGGACTGGCATCGGCGCTTTTGGCTGGGGGAAGTGGAAGGTTTCGAGAGTAGCGGGGTCAAGGGAGGGCCGTTCAGAGGCCGGGTGGAGGTCTTGTGGGAGGTTGGGTGGAGCGAGATCTTCATTACGGGGGTGCGGCTTAGGTGATGGTTTGGGTAGAGAATGCTGTGCGCTTGGAGCAGAAACAGGTGCAGACGAAGGAGTGTTGAAGGAGACTGATTTTTTTGGTTTAGATTTTTCGTCGGCCACAGGTGCCGGCGGTTCAAATCCAGTCTTTTCATCTTCTTCAATATTTGCTCTGCGGAGGAATCGTGCAAGAAGTCCTGGGTCCATCTGTTCCATCAGCTCCTCTCGCTCCTGTTGAATCTGCGCGTCTGACATTGCCGCCAGCTGACGGCGGTTCTCCTCATCGATGGATTTCTTGTCATCTTGGATTGTCGGTTGAGTAGGTACAGGAGTCGGAGGAGTGGACTGGTTTGCTCGTCGCTGTTTAAAGGAAGAGGGCTTGCGCGGGCGAGGGGCAGGGAATCCAGTCGATGACGACAAGGTCGGCAATTTAGGCGCGGGGGGAATGGCGGTGGGGGGAGCCCGTTCTTGGATCTCCCCGATCAGAGAGAATGGAGAGGGGATTTCTGGAGCACCAGATTCATCATCCAGGTCGAGAAGGAAGCGTTCACCTCGAAAAGCCATGATGCGTAAATACTGGTGAAGAGGAGAAAAAAAGGTTATGTCAGCGCGGGGAGATCCAAGATGCGGCTCCCAAAGCTAAAATGGGGCTGCAGAAGAGGCTAACCGGAATGGGCTAGTGGAAGATGGCGGATGTGCTAGTCCCAATTGGATTCCTCACATTGGTCCGTGGCATCTACAATGTTGTATACGGCCTGTGTTGATTTTTCTATGCTATATAAGACCGATGGAAGACTGATTAGGATCATTCATATCGATGGGAATAGAAAGAAGAATGTTGGAGGGGTTTTCCCTCAGCTAAACGGTTCTTATGCACGTCGACGTCGATATTGTCGTACCTATCATGAACTTCCACAGGGAATACACAGGCAGGATCAATATTACATAGACTCTATTGTCTATAAGATGGAAGAAATAGTCAGTCTAAACCAGATATAATCCCAAAATATAGCGAACATCTGATTTGAATCACATGAGGCCATTCGGTAAATGAGGCCATTCCGGTATCAGGTACTGCGCACAATTTACGGTTCTAAGCTAAACGATCCGCAAGGGAATTATGGATATGATCTCCAATGCTCCGTGACTTCAGGAAACGAGAATTCTACATAAGATAGAGGGCAAGCATAGCGCCACGATCCCTCTCTATATACCGTTCTATAGCAATTTCCCCATATCTCCGACGTACTATAGAGCTGGACATATCAAATTGCCAGTACTTTGCCAAATGTAATGTGTTGTTTGATCCATAACCTGCTTGCTCTCGTCCCCTTTCTTCCCTTTTTCCCTCTTTTTTTCCCTTCGTCTTCTCCCTTTCTATTTCCGCTTTCGCTCTCTTTTTCCTCTCAACATTTTCCCCTTCCCCCCTTCCGCTCCTCTCGCTTTTTTTTCTGCTTTTCCCGCGCTTCCTGGCTGTTTTCTCTCTGCCTACCATCTTATCTTTCTGGTGTTCCTCTTCCCCCCAAATCTCTGTTTGCCGACCTGATACCGACACGTTTCACCACTTTGCGTCAACTCAACGCCTTCATCCCGATTTTGACTAATTCCATCACTTTGTCAATTTTCGGTCTGTTAATTGGGATTGGGATTGTGCTAAATTATGTCGGACCCTGCTAAGATGGGTATACAAAAAGAAGAAGGGCCCATTGACGATGTCAAATCCGGAGCAGGCGCCCGACGTGCCTCCGGTACCGCCAGGCGGTCGCGTCGTAAGAAGGACGACGACCCCGACAAGGACAAGGACAAGACCAAAAAGGACAAGGAACCGAAGGAAACGAAAGAGAAACCGGTCCGAGCTCCTCGTCGGCCACGGGAGAAATCCAACACCACTGCTTCCCGGAAAAAGCCCAAGCTGGAACCCGCGGAAGAAAGGGCTGCTCCAGACGCTCGCAGCCCTCCACACACCCCTGCAACGCCTCAACCTGCACAGCCCGCTCAACCAACTCAACCTACGCAACCTCAAATAGCTCCACCGCCTCAACCTCCTCAACAACCTCAACCTGCTCCGACTTCATACTCAAATACACCCTCCCATACAGCCCCAGGAGCTTTGTATCAGCTGTCACAACCCTCCCGCCCACAATCGCAACCTCCAGTACCGCAACCGCCACCTCAACGAACCAGCGGGCAAAACTTCGACCCCATTCGCTCTGCGTTTGACAATCCATCTCCAGCGCCCTCATACAGTCCTTCTACTCGCGCAATCTCTCCTCGCAATGCTTATCGTGCCAGTGCATCGCCGGCGATCTCAAGCATTATCGATCCACCAGCCCAGAACTCGCAACCAATTTACAACACCCTTCAGCGCTCCTCTTCTGGCCATGTATCCGGCCTCTCTTCGCCAGCACTGTCTGCGATGGTTTCCACCTCTCCACATCCGTCCTTAGCACCCCCCGTTTCCTCCGCTGCCCGTGGAGCCATGCACATCCCGCAGGCCATGTCGCAGTCTACCCCCTACACCACCCCATACCCACCTACCGAGCAGCGGCCAACGCCAACGCCATCACAAACTCCTAAACCCGAACCGTCTCCGCCGGTGCAACCTCAGCCTCCCGCGCAACCCGAACCCGCTGTTCTGTCGACTCCGCCCAGACAACAACCAGCCGAATCAATGGGAATCGATCCCACAGAGCAGCTTGAACCTAGCGCCAAAAAGGAAAAGAGTACAGCTACTGCACCGACATCAAAGGCCTCATCTCCCAAGCCAGCGCGATCTGCCAAAGATGCTCCTCAACTGCCCCAAGGATCTGGCATGATCACAAACGCGCTGTTCGGCGGAGGAGAGGAACCTGCAAAGTCACCTGACTCACGTAGCGCACCCAGCATCATCGTTCATGTTCCGCTACAAAAGGGCAACCAGATTGTCAACTTTGCACGGCTTGCAGAAGAGCAATATGGCTTCGCTGCCTTGCACCCTCGGCTGGCCGCTCACAAAGCACGCATGGCTCGTGTGGCAGCTGCTGCGGCCGCGTTAGAACGAAATGATAAGACTGCCAAAGGGATATCTGCCAGCGAGAGTGCCGATGAGGATCTGAGCCTCGATGCAGAACGCGATAGTGATATGGATGGCGATGTTCCCATGGGTGGTACTGGCACAGGAACCAACGGTGCGCCCTCGGAGACTAGCGATGGAAAGAAGAAGCGACGCAAGAAGGTTGAGGAATATGACCGTGATGATCCATTTGTGGATGACACCGAAATGGTGTGGCAGGAGCAGGCTGCTGCCAGCAAGGACGGGTTCTTTGTCTACAGTGGGCCACTAGTCCCGGAGGGAGAAAAGGTCCAAGTGGAACGGTATGTCTACTCATTGTCCCCTTACTACACATTTACTAATTATCTGCAGCGCCGATGGTACAATCAAACGTGGCCGCGGCCGTGGGCGAGGAACAGGCCGGGCTCGGACCGTGACCTCACACCCACACGTTCCTATTGCAGCTGCCGTGCCCGTCTCCCAAGATACTGGCCTGCCATTACGTGGACCTGGCTCTCGAGGTGGCACCTCACGCCGACCGCGGGGCAATAAGAGAGCCGATGGTGGCAGCGACCGCGCTGCTACCGCAGCCTTCACTGCATCCGCTTCCCATGAAAGCCGTGGTGGCCGTGGTGGCGGCACTGGGAGCTCTGGTCGTGGTGGAACTAACAGCACTCGGGGTGGAAAGTCGTCCATATCAATCCCGATGCCAGATCTTGCTCCTGCGCCATCGGGTGTTGCCCATGGACCCCCTGCTCACAGTTCGCTAGCTAGCCCAGAGCTCATGATGAAATAGAGAACATGTTGACTGATTTTTCGTGGCGTTTGTTTGGTGGTCGGAGCTTGATGACTTTGTTTGGTTTTATTTGCGCTATCATTTTGCTCACAGGTATGATTTGCCCACCTATTACATTTTTTTTTTTGTTGTCGGACTCGAGAAACCGTTTGCTTTGTGAACACATGGACTCTCTATGTACACCTCGGTTATGTTATTATGGCTGAATATCTTAATTTTCAGCCAGTGATTCAAGACATTCAAGATGCTTCCAATGGAACACGCTTAGACTACGTCATCCTTAGGCGCCTCAGATATTGAGTTTGTTTTACCTTTGTCGATTCTTTGTATGAAACAAAGGTGGTGTTTCATGTTTTATGATATGAAACAATATGCAGAGTCTAAAGTACTCTATGAAACAAACCTAAACTGGTGTTTATAGATACGCTTCCAAAAGACGTACAAGTACCAGTAAAAATATTATATCAAATGTAATTACTGACCTGTCCTATATCTATCGGTCCTCTGTAGGCATGAGTCTAGAATAAGTGGTTTATTGGAAATATTGATCGGACGCATATCCATAGAAAGAGTACAACATATGAAATTGCACTTATGTACGCCGTGTAATGCAGGAAAACATCCCAGCAGCTAAAGATAGAATCGGAAATGAACAAAATAGGGTTCGTTGCGATATGTTTCGAAGCAGAGTCATTGAATGAGAAGTAAGAAGGAGAAAATAGAAAGAGAGAGAAGAGAGAGAGATATACCCATAGATCAATGGAAGAAAAAAAGAAAGTCCTGTTAGGGCAGCTTGCCTCGGGCTCTCTTTTCTTTGTTCCATCAAAAGCGCCGTGATAACACACCAGACAGAACAACACAGCCGACAAGGAAATAACAGATATCCACGATCATCAAAGCCGAAATCGTATCACATCGACTTTTCAGGTGTATGTGCACGTTACCTGGACATAGACATGACAATGGAAGGAAATAGAACCAAGACATCCAAGTACATTAACTAGTCGTCACCAAATTACCGGGGCGTACTTCCTGGTTGAGTGCGCCAGTTTCCGCCTGATGGAACAGGCAATGGGGGAGGCGGGCCGTTCGGAGGCGCAGTGCGGATAGGCATCGCCGTGGAGTGCAGGTTCGTGCGGGGATTAGAGTTGTTGGAGCTGGCGGAGCGAGGGCTCATGAATGGGCGAGATGGGGCATCGATGGCAGAAACGGGCTCGTTGAGCTGCTGACGCATCGCGCGACGACCGTATCGGCTGTCCTCGTCGTTTGCTTCCAGCGAGAGGTGCTCCAGAGAGGGGGGTGGTGGAGACCGCGTGGTTCGGGACGAAGACGATGAGGAATATTGAGGCTGGGGCTGGGGCTGCGACTGAGGCTGGGACTGAGGATAGTGACGGTAGCTGGATGGGAACTCGTTGGCGATCTTTAGAGGGATTTCGCCTGATGCTGGGTTTGACGGGAATGGTGACTGCTGTGGGGTTCGTGTTTGCTTGTTGACGAGAGGGGGTTTCCCGATAGTGCCTGATATGGGAGCTGCGGCGGGAGACGATTTTGGGGTTGGTTTCGAGGCCTCTCTAGAGAGTTGGGTTGATATTGGTGGTCCCAAATAGGACTTGCGCTTTTCTTGGTCCATCATGCTCATTGCCCATCCTTCGAGGTTGACTGGTGTGCGCTTCGCGGCCTGCAAGAAGGCATCTTTGTCCTGAAAGGAGTTAGTACATGTGAAAAAAAGCTACAGGTCAAAAAGAGAGGTGAACATACATAAAGCTCTCGTGGGGTTGGGCGCTCTTCGGATTTCTTCAAGAGACACTTCCCAACAAAGTCATGTAGGATAGGCGGGAAGGCATCGCTCTTGGGCAGCTTGGGCGCTGTCTCGTGCACGATTTGCTGAAGTAGATCCAAAATTCCCATCGGCCCTGTGCTAGCACGGTTTCCGGCACCAGAGTCGGAGTGATCGAAGGGGAACTTTCCAACAGCCAGCTCCATGACCGTCAAGCCCACGCTCCACACGTCGGAACGGACCGTATAGGCGCCTCCCTGAATTCGTTCGGGAGCCATATATGTGGAAGTGCCAACAAATGTATCGGCAATCGAGTTAACTGTCTCGGTAGCAACACCAAAGTCACAGAGCTTGATGTTGCCGCGGGAATTGAGTAAGATATTGGACGGCTTGATATCACGATGCATGATGCGGTGGGTTTCGTATAAGTAGACAAGGCCAGCCAAGACGGACTCGGTGATCTTTCCCAGCACATCGACTCGAACAGGGCCGAAATCTTTAGAAACGCGGTCGAGAGATCTGATGGCCCGTCAGCTATATCCTCTTTGTTTCCCATATCGGTCCACCTACCCGAGGTCCATATATTCCATGCATAGCACAATATCTCTCGCTTCGTTTTGGAATGCACCATAGAAAGTGACAATATTGGGACAATTGCAGTCATGTCCGACTCGAAGTTCTCGTAGAATCTGTTTCCGCACGTTCTCTTTGGCTTCCACACGGATAATCTGCGGGCATAAGGAAGATTAGAGCTGACCAACAAGCAAAAACACACCATAGACAATACACACCTTTCGAGCCATCACCACCTTAGTGGATGCATGCATCACCTTGGAAACAGTACCTCCATTTCCGGCGCCGAGTTCCTTCAATGTGACTAGGTCTTCACTGCGAAGATCGAGGCGAAACTCCAGACCGATTTCGAGCGTATCTGTGTTGCTGAGTTCGCTATTACCAGCAGACCCAGCCTGTGTATCGCCATCGGCAGGTTTAGGGGCTGCATTGAGAGCAAGACCTTTGACATTCTTTCGTTTCAACGTCCGAGCCTTGAACTGGTCCGTCATGGCGCCTGGAGGGGTTGGACTTGCACAAGGGGAAAGTTGTGAAAGAAAGAAAACGAACAGCCCAGCGCCTGAGTGATATCAAGTCCGGGTTACCCAAGCCGATGGGATCAGAGTGGTCAAAACGAACCCCCGAGCTAGCGGCGGGGAAGTCGATATCACCTTGCGATGTTCTTGGCGACGCTGATTGGACCTTTCGGGCGCGTCGCTTCGACCAACTATGACCAAAATGTGCCGGTCGGCGGCTAACAGATATTGGATTTTTCTTACAGGTATGAAGGGAGAAACTGGGAGATGATCTTCAAGAACTATGAAAGCCACTGCAATCAATGAAACAACAAGTGTTTCGGGGGTTCCACCAGCCTTTTGGGCTAGCTTGGGTACTTGTGGCTTTACACAACGGGGTTTACGGCTAAAATGAAGTGGATAACACTATTCAAACTCGGGCACGTTCAATAGTCTCGGCCCTACATCAATAGTGTAAAGCGATATGCATATTGAGGATCCGACCAGGGCATCGTTGAATGTACACAAAGACATCAGCACGTGACATGAATGGCTCAAGCCACAATGAGGCTACCCCAATAGGACTAGCGTCTAGCCACATCAGCACTAGCCAATCACCGCTACCCGCGTCCTCTCCTCGCCGATGGCCGTGATTCTTCCTCTTGACAACTATTGCTTCAATTCCACCTCTTTGTCTCACTTTTGACCGAGCTAACGAGCTGGGCACTACCTGGTGTCGCATCTGCGCCATTCTATCTTGAATCTTTCATCCGAAACCGCATTCTTTTCGGTCCCTAGCAATAGGGATCTCTACTTCAAGATGAGCCTTCGCGACCTAATCGAGGGTGAGGCAGTTATGGATGACGACGATGAGGAAGTTGCCGACGACTATGATGCCGAGGGCCGCCAGGGCGCAGGTGCCGCCAACCACTACAATGACTCGAGCGAGGAGGAAGACGAAGAAGAAGATGACGAGGAGGCTGCTCGCGCCGTCAGTTTTCGCCTTTCACCGGGTTGTATCTCTTTGCTGACGAACTATTAGGTCCGTGAAGGTTTCATTGTTGATGAAGACGAAGAAGACGAGCGTGCCGCCCGCAAACACCGGAAACGTCCACGCGCTGCTCGCGAAGAAGAGCACCTTGATGAAGAAGATCTGGAACTCATTGGACATGGCCCAAGTCAGCATCGTGGACCAGCTACTGATGTATGTAAGCCGCAGCTCATTACTTGACAAGATTCTGATGCTCTGATTTTAGTCAAAGTTTAAGCGCCTGAAGCGAGGCAAAGATCGCGAAAGCTACCAACAGTCTCACGGCGTTGACGATATTTTCAACTCGGACGAAGAGGAGGAAGCGCAACAATATGCTAGACCAGGCCAGCGTCGTGGTCTGCGCGATGAAATGGACGACTTTATTGAAGAGGATACCTTCTCTGACGATGAGGCTCAGCGTGAACGGGATGACCTTGGGGTTGCGCCTGCCTCCAGAGTCAACAAGACCGGCTTGATTCCGACTGACACCTCGGGCTTAGATGAAAATGCACTTGAGGATATGCGCGCTGCATTTGGTGATGGCACAGAGTACGATTTCGCACTGCAAATGGAAGACCAAGAGGACGCCGATAAACAAACCGAAGAACGTCACCTAGATTTGAAGGACGTCTTTGAACCATCCGAACTGGCTGAAAGGATGTTGACGGAGGACGATAACGAAATTCGTCTCCTCGATGAACCCGAACGCCATCAGGTTGCTCGCAAGCCCTATAAACATGTGACATTGACCGAGGATCAATTCCGGGAGGAGGCAGTCTGGATTTCAAATTTGATGCTACTAAAGAAGCGCATGGATCCCGAACTGCGCGAACCATTCCAGCGCTCCGTTGCTAAGATGTTGGAATTCCTGATCACGGACGATTGGGAGGTGCCCTTCATTTTTCAGCATCGCAAAGACTACATGATTCATGCTGTCAAAGATATGGCCAATGGCGCCGATCCCGACGACGAGTCCGCCAAATACAACATCCGGGCCGAGAAACTCCTCAATATGACAGATCTATGGGATATCTTCGACCATGATCTCAAATTCCGGGCTTTGATCGACAAGCGTGGTACAATTAAAAAGACATACGACAATCTGCAAAGCCTCTTCAATGTGAATGATTCCAACGTCGAGGATCAACTTATTGCAGCCACGAGCATGGAGGAGCTTCAAGATGTGCAGGACTATATCCATTTCCAGTACTCCTCACAGCTACGTGATCTCAACCAGGTCAATGGCGATGGTACTGGAGAAACACAACGCCGAAAAGCCACTGGAAGATCTTTCTTTGAGCGTGTTCGGAACGGCAAGGCCTATGGCTTCGTGCGTGCTTTTGGTATCACTGCAGATGCGTTTGCTCAGAATGCCTCCAAGGAAGGTCGCCGGCAATACACCGAAGATCCCACTGAGCAGCCTGAAGATCTGGCAGATCAGTTTGTCGACAATGACTTTTCTAACAGTGCGCATGTCCTCAAAGCTGCTAAGTCGATGTTCGCCGAAGAGCTTGCTGTCAGTCCTAAAATGCGCAAGGTGATCCGTCAGGCATACTACATGAATGGAGTCGTGGATTGCTTCCGCACAGAGAAAGGACTTCGCCGGATCGATGAGCAGCATCCGTATGCTGAATTCAAATACCTGCGGAACCAGCAGCTAAGCGATATTGCCCGTCGCCCGGAGATGTTCTTGCGCATGCTCAAGGCCGAGGAAGAAGGACTCGTTGATGTCCGGGTGAGGTTTGAGAACTTTGACCAGTTCCGCAAACGTCTCTACGCCGATATTGAGTCAGACAACTACAGTGAGCTTGCTGATGCTTGGAACCGTGTTCGCCGTGAGGTGCTGGATCTGGCTCTGGGCAAACTGGAAAAGTTGATCAATCGCAGTGTGAAGGAAAATATTCGACAGGAATGTGAGAACCATGTGGCCAAGGAGTGCCGCGAAGCGTTCTCACAACGTCTCGACCAGGCCCCTTACAAACCCAAGGGCATGGTCCTGGGCACAGTGCCCCGTGTTCTCACTCTCTCCACCGGATCTGGTCAGCTGGGCCGGGACCCCATTCACTGGGCTTACACAGAAGAAGATGGCCGTGTCTTGGAGAATGGCAAATTCTTTGATCTTTCGGTAGGAGATGAGAGCCGTGACATTGCAGATGGTGAGAACCTAGCCGCTTTTTTGGATCTGATGGATCGTCGTCGACCAGATGTCATTGGTGTTTCGGGCATGACGCCAGAGACGCGCCGCCTGTACAAGCTTCTATCCGAAATTGTCGAACAAAAAGACATACGTGGTGCATCCTACACAAATGAGCACGATGAGGAGATCAGCGACCCATTAGAGGTGGTCATTGTCAATGATGAGGTTGCCCGGTTGTACCACAACAGCCCTCGCGCCAGAAGCGACAATCCAGGCTTTGGACCTCTTACCCATTACTGTGTGGCTCTAGGCCGGTACTTGCAGAGCCCGCTCAAGGAATATGCATCCTTAGGCCGTGACGTTGTCTCCATCCAGTTCAAACCAGGCCAGCAACTAGTCTCCCAGGACCTGCTTCTCAAGCAGCTGGAAACCGCCCTGGTGGACATGGTCAACTTGGTCGGCGTTGATCTCAACGAGGCAGTGGCGGACACGGCGACAGCCAATCTCTTGCCGTATGTCTGCGGTCTTGGTCCCCGAAAGGCGGCTCACTTGCTCAAGATTGTCAATATGAACGGCGGAGTCGTTAACAACCGGGTGGAATTGCTTGGTGTCAACGCAACATACCCGGCTATGGGTGTCAAGGTTTGGAACAACTGTGCTAGTTTCGTCTACATCGACTTCGAGAATGCTGATCCCGATGCTGATCCGCTGGATAACACCCGTGTGCATCCCGAAGACTACGATATTGCGCGCAAGATGGCCGCCGACGCACTTGAGCTGGACGAGGAAGATATCAAGGCCGAGACTGACGAGAACGGCACTGGTGCTATCATGCGGAAGCTGTTCCGGGAAGAGGCACAGGACCGTGTCAACGATCTTATTCTGGAGGAGTACGCAGAGCAGCTTGAGAAAAACCTCAACCAGCGCAAGCGTGCCACACTCGAGACGATCCGAGCCGAGTTACAACAACCCTACGAGGAATTGCGCAAGCACTATGTCTTCCTCAGCACCGATGATATTTTCACAATGCTCACTGGCGAGACGCCCGACTCTTTAACACCTGGTATGGTGGTGCCCATTGCTATCAAGCGGGTATTTGAGGATCACATTGAGGCGAAATTGGATTGCGGAGTTGATGTACTCGTGGCCGAGACCGAACTCGGCGTTCCCTACGAAATCCCTGTACGCAATGTATACCAAGTCCACCAAACTGTCCCGGCCAAGATTCTGTTCTTGAACCGCAAGGGTTTCTCTTGCAACGTCTCTCTACGTGAGGATCAGGTCAGCCATCCATCTCGTCGGAACCAGGATCATGGCTTCGACGATTGGGACGAACAGCAGGAGAAAGCCGACAAGGAGTCGCTGCAAGAAAAGACGCAGCGTGGCGGCCAAGCCATGCGTGTCATCAAGCACCCGCTTTTCCGGCCGTTTAACTCTACCCAGGCCGAGGAGTTCCTAGGTTCTCAAAGCCCAGGCGACGTTGTTATTCGCCCGTCCTCCCGAGGCCCCGATCACTTAGCTGTCACCTGGAAGGTGGCGCAAGGTGTGTACCAGCACATCGATGTTCTCGAGCTGGACAAAGAGAACGAGTTCTCTGTCGGCCGTGTCCTCAAGGTCGGTGGTCGGTATACTTACAGTGACCTGGACGACCTGATCGTCAATCACGTCAAAGCGATGGCCAAGAAGGTGGGCGAGATGGTATTCCACGAGAAATTCCAAGAAGGCAGCAAGGCCGAGACAGGTATGTTTTTGATAATTTATCCCATCTAACTAGCATCCAACTAACATCTAATAGATCAATGGCTCGATACTTATACCAAGGCCAACCCT